ATCTTGCAATTAATCAAAGGATGGGTGGCAAGTTCATTCAAGGCGCAAATGAAGTTGGCTAATACAATTTACGTAGTTTTATTGAGAGTTTCCCTTCACAGATTTTCTCGTTATACCGTTGATCGTAAAATGAGAGATATATAGTAGAAATCTTTGTGCGGGATAAAATAATCGGGCAAGTGACGAAATTATGGACCGGCAAGATGTTCACAAGAACAAAAAATGTCGAGACTTTCAAGATTTACGATGAGAAAAAGCAAAAAGAAAGAAAAAACGTCGGGAGTTCCCTTTGTTGTTGAAGTTACTCGGCTCCATTTATTCACTCTCTTCTTTCGTCACTCGTCGTTGACAAGGAAAGGAAGGAGGAAGCCCGAGAAAAGCCGGATTTTCCGAGGCATCCTTCTCGCGTGACAAAACGCGATATCCCGGAATGTCCTTGATACGATATTGTTGCGGAAATGCTTTAAAGATTTGATGAATACGGGATATGAAACGGACGAAAGTCAAGTATGCGTGGACGCATACCTTATCGTACAGAATACAAGAGACGCGAAAGATATATTATGTCAAGCGTTTGCATTTCCGCTTCCGTGATTACAATACTTTCATCTTTTACATTTTACCATATCTCATTCGTTTAATAGCTTGGGGGAATGTAAGCGAGCGGTTGTAATGTACCAGCTAATTATAAAAAGATGTCTTAGAATAAGCCTTCATCCAAAGACCTCGTTTTAATAAGCCGATTATTAAATAATAAGGTTTTGAAGTACCACAGGAACGTAAGTCGTGATATAAAGGTGAGCTTCTTTCATGTTACAATTACCATGGATGAAACTCGCATAGCAGATGAATGGTGGGCATGCACGAATGACTTCAAGTCCCTCTCGCGGTTCGATACCGCTTCCTTTTAAAAGGGAGCTAGAAGATTTACCGAAAGAATGAATACGGACGATTAACCATTGAATTTCCTGCATTTCCGTACAGCGCTTTTTACTCGTATTTCGCGCCGGCGCGGCGCGGTGGTCCGATCCATTTCAAGTGTGCGACTCGTTTCTTCTCTACAAAACCACTTTTATATAGACCGCGAAAAAGAAATCTCTACATCACAAGATTCTGCATTTCACAGAATTATTAACTTCAGAATGTTAGAATATATTAGAATTTAATATTTTCCTTGCATTTAGCACCTATTGTATAAAGAATACTTCAAATACGACTATCAATACTCCAAAGTCCCTAAAACATAATGTTAAAAAATGCCTTACCTATTCAAAATAACGAAAAGTATTATACACACACACACACACATATATATAATAACAGATAATTTCTTACATTAAATTATAGAATAAATATTCCGTAACTGTATTTATCGCACAAAATCGAAATAAACCGAAAAAATAGCTCAAAATTAAACTGTTAATTCATATAATAATTTTGAGTTACGTGAACTGTCGAAATTAAATAAAAATTATATATGATACGGCAAACTAACAAAAATTTTATTTTGACTAATTAAAGTAATAAATATTAAAGTATTTAATCAAGAGGCTTTTATATATATAAACAATCTACTTTCTGTAAACAATATTTAATAAACTTTGCGTTATCACCAATAAATTGCGGTACCAATAAATATTTAATTTACACGACGTTAATTAATCAGCGAAAGCAATTTATTCAAGCATCATTTAGATGTTGGCGGTGTCCTTTGTCAACTAGATGTGCTGAAGAGTAAAGGACGTCCACCAGAACGATTTATCGTGATAAACCTTTCAACAAGATTCCCTACTCTTATTTATCCATCAAATTAACGGACATTGATTAGGGGCAGCGAAGTATAGTCTAGGAAACTTTCCGTTGACAATTAATTACCGTCTGTACTATTTATTACTTAAGACGTTATTCTATATTCATTTACAAAATACTTTATCGTACTGCAGAGTGCTTTAAATTTAGTGAATCATTTTTCACACGCGACTCCATGAATCTGACGTCGATTTTTCCTAATCAAATAAGAAAAAGAATATTTTTAAGCAGATCTTGATGTTTAATAATTAATATTTATATATATATAAACTTACAAATATATTTTTTAGTTTTATAAACTACACACATATTCGAATTGTCGGACTTAAAACGCAATTATAAACTGAATACATATTATGGAATTGTTGGGAATAGATTTCAATCGGAATTATTTCAATTTCCTAAAAAATATATTTGAATCTAGATAATAATTGAAATTCCTATTGGAATCCCCATTTCGAATAATTCTATAATACGTATCCTGAAGTTGAAAATAACACGATAAATTACATTGAACATCAATTTAATATTGATGCTAATAGGCATCTTGAAACATTGTAAAGAATTTATCGTGAAAAATATCTCAGCCTGTGGATTTGAATTTAGAACTCTCAACTTTCTCTCTCAAGAACGGGCATCTTATCAATGTAATGTTGAGAATTATAGCTTCAGGGCTGAAATAATATTTTTCGCAATAAGTTCTTTGTAGTCTTTTAAATGTCTATTAGCATCATTAATAAATTGAGAGTCAATGTAATTTGTGATGTTATTTTTAGCTTCAACTTATGATTATTACGTTTATGTCTCAAGTCTAACAAATCGAATCGAACGCGTAGTTTATAAAACCAAAAAATATTATTTGTAAATCTGTATTATTAAGTACCAATCTACCTTCAATTAAAAAAAGGGAATTCTTTCTCGCATTTAATTAATTTTTATCGATCTAATTTCCATTGTTTTTCCAAATTAAATACGTCGAGAAAAAACATTATTTATCGCAAATTTTCAATTCTTAACATTTTAAATAGTTTTTATAATTGATCCATAAATTATGAAACTATTATAAAACAAAATTCACTGAAAATTAAATAAAAATTAAATCTTAGATTCTTACATTACATTTTTCTTATTTTAGACGGAAACATATTATGTCATCTCATGAGAAAGTTTTATCCACGAAAACATATGTATCTCTATGCATTATATCTAGTTGTTTTTGTAATCAGGAATCTCATTTGTTACAATAATATTGTAGGAAATAAATGGATTCAATTGTAATGATGAAAGAGAGAGAGAGGAGCCGTTTGAGTTAAAATTAGAATGGAAATTATCTTGCTTCTGTCATTACTTCGCGAGTTATATCAGTGTGATCTCTTTATCTTTGTATCCGTTTTCGTTGTCTAAACGTCCTACATGTTACAAGCAGGGCGCGAGCGTCTCGAGGGCATTCACGGCGAGAAATCCAATTTCAATGAAAAGGCGGAACAAGAGGTTACGACGCGAGACAAATATCGTGTTTCAGGACGATACACCGCCGCACAGTTATGTATGTGTTGCTGCGTAAATTCCTCAGGCCTGTCGGCTTACTCGAGAGAGAATTTAACCGTTTTATCGCGAAAACAAGGAGTGTGGCGAAACCATTACTGGAATTCCGCTTGTCTTCTCGCATTCAGATACTAACACTCTTTCAATCGGATTACTACGAGAATCAATACTTTGAGAAAGAACCAAATAATTTTCGACAACTTACTTGCCACGATAAAGTTATAAAATCAACGAGCAAAATGTAATTTGTACAAATATATTTCAATTATTTATTTAAAACAATATATATTTTTTCTATCAGACAACTGCTAGTAATTATGATCTTTTCACTGCGGTATTCTTTTAATACGTGTACTGTTCGTACAATGATACCAATAATTTACATCGGACATACATATTTAACAGCAAATTTAATTGCCCGGGTGTGGCCGTTTATACCAGACGCATTAATTAACAGCAACTGTACTAAATACACGAAATTCATTACTATTCGCTATCCGTAGGGATTAGGCCAGAAATCTAGCAATTATTTCGCAGCAATATGTTTATATCGTTTATGAAATGGTATATTAATATCATATATATAGAGTGTCAATGTTTTCCTTAATATCAGACATTTTCTTATTTTCTTTTGAAAAATATTTTGAACAAAATTAAATAATTAACTGAAAGTGCATAATCAAAATTTTTAATAAAATTAATTAAACATTCACGAAAATTAATTACGTTCTATAATACTGCTATATAACGTTCTATAATATTGCTATATACACCTATGTATAATGTATATTACAATGTAAATATCATTTCAAACGATTATTAATCATTAAATGCATAATTAATATATCATTTTTTAGAAAATGTAATTAAGCAAGTTATATTAGCTTGTTAATGTTTCTATAAAATACAAATTTTCTATTTTTTCGTTGCTGAAACGATTTTTAACAGAATATATTCGGGTAATAAATAAAATATACAAATAAAGATCATCATATCTAATAAAATAAATAGTTAAATTTCAACATTGTAGTGTATTGTATAATAATATATACATATAACGTTAAGAATTTTAATTCATGTATTTTACATCTACTCGAAAATATTGAACGAAGATGTTACAAACCAAATACTAGTAGTTCAAGAGAGTAACTCAACGGACTCTCATTAGTAACATGATAACGGATGTTCGAGGATTATAAACCTGTAATCTGATGTGCTAAGTAGCTGACGTATCTCTCTATTCACGCTGATTACAAGAAAGCTGCCAGAAGTGCCACTTACATCCAATATTAAGTTGCATGATTAAATTTCACAAATTATCTATAAACGGATAACATAACGATATGCCAAAAAAGAAATTATGCTCTCTCAGATTATATTCAAAATAAATATAGTTCAATATTTGAAATATAGTTCAATACTTTCAAGCATTATAACTCGAAAAGTACTTTATGAAAAAATATTTTATTATAGTATTTTGGAAAGCTCTCAAGATGTGCTATAAGAAAAGAATCAATTTAAGAGAAAAGTGTATTTTTTTTATTTTATTGAGTCGCCACGTTAAGTCACCATGCTTTGGTGAAGAGTGCTTTGAAATAAAACTATTATATCCTGCAAAGTAAACAGTTGTCAAGATGCAAACTCACCAATTTTGACGACCGAAGGCAGCGCGTCGAGCATCGATAGCAGCTGAAGCAGCTGAAGAACAAAGATAGAGGCTACCAGGCAGCCCAGATTCATAGCTCATCTCGGAAGCCCTCCACAGTGGCCTCTCGGTGGCCCCTCACACAAACACTACCGCACAAATGATGTAGTCGTAGTGGATAGGGTTTGACGTTCCTACGCACACATTCACCTATACATAAAAGATACGAATATTATTTATATTTATGAAAGATGTCATGTGAGGGGGTGTGAGAACGACGGTCTCATAATCATAGATGCCACACATATGTACACGCACGCACACACGCACACACATTCAATATAAAAAATTTCGTAATCGGTATTGATTTAGCGGGAAGTTTCTTAGCGCAAAGAAACTCTTTAAATTTTTATTCATAGTCAGTTTTTATTTTAAAACCGTCTTAAATAATTTTGTTTATTTTAATTTAACTTTATTGTAAAGCACTAATAAGACTACAAAAGTAAAGGAACGATCGACAATAGTAACTTGCAATTGGTCAGGCATCAACAAGACTGCTGTTACAAAGCCTATCATAGTAACAAAAAAATCAAGACAAAGACAAGATGCATAAGATAGTGAAGTAAAATACACACAAATATTATTTATACACGCAACGCAAACATACATATGCACGTGCGCTTACATGCACCCAGATAAATTCAGACAGATCCGTTTGTAATGAAATAATGAGATTAGAAGTTGTGAGTGATGCGATGAAACGCGAAGCAGCAGAACGAAAGGTGGACAGAGAGGGTGATGTTTTTATTGATATAGAAAGAGGATTGAAGTATTTGACTGATGTGTAGGAGAAAGCGGCACGGAACTTGGTGGAGCGATGCATGAGGTATGATAAATAGTTTTGGTATATCTGATGGCGAGGGAGTTATTAGTGGAGTGAAGCTCAGAGTTAAAATGCCAGAGGTGTTACAGATATAGAGGAGGATTGGACCGAAGGAGAGAGAAGATGAGACAGTATAGATGGAGTATAAAACGTTGCCAAATCCTAAGCCAGATCTCTGGAAATATATAGAGATATATGGTCATATTTACGAATGCAGTAGAACAAGCGAAGATAAGAGTTTTGGATACACTGAACATGATTTAGCTGTTGTTAATTAAGAGCTGAAATAAATAACATCAGCATAATCGAACAAAGAGATAACAAGTAATTGAGAAGTGAGGAGTTTTTGAAAACAAGAGAGAATGTGGCGAAGAAGATAAAGGAGACGTAGAGGCATAAGCAGCCCGACACTTGACGGTTACATGTGACTCAAATGTCTAGGACGAGTCAACACGAACACCAAGAATCTTAATAGAAGAGGAACAGGGAATTGGAATGGAGTTAAAAATAATATCAAAGAATTGAATACGGGATAATAATGCTGGAGAACCAACAATTAGCAAGGATGATTTAGAAATATTTAGATGCAGCGTATTATTAATGGATCAATCGACGATAGATTGTAGATTATAGTTTGAAGCAGAACAGGCAGTTTGAGAATCGAGTGGAAGAAACGATTTGAGAAAGATGACGTCATCTGCATATAATGTAACGTTTTTATATGCTAATACAACCCTTTGATTGATTCATGATATCTTAAGACCGTATTTAAGACGGTCCTAAATATAAGATCCGACTATGAATACCTTAGATTTAGGTAACTCTTTGACTCTCAATGAATCGATATATGGTCCTATCCATCCTATCATTATTACTATTTATTATTCAAACAGAGAATTGACAAGAATTGTATTATTATTACAATCCTACATTCAAAATTAATATTAATGACTAAATTTCAATAATAATTTAAATTATAATCTTCTAACCTGTATTATTCTGTTTTATATCTTTATATCTTTAAAATAAATCTGAATTGTGTGTGCAAATATAGAAGAGCTTTATATTACAATTCAGTCGGTTACTGTTTAAAGAAAAAAAAAACTTCTTGCTGGTACGCGTTAATTAAAAGTTCGCGTTGAAACAGGCTGGAGATAGAATGTATCTGCTATGTTGCTTTTCACTGCGCGTAAAATTCATAAGGGCCAGCCGTATCCTACCAAATGTAGAATATATTTTTCAATAGAGAAAAAAGGATTCCCCATGCATTTTGCTAGCAAACAAAAATTTCCCGTTTTGCATAAACGATGTTTGAAACGTTCAATTCGCCGATAGATATTTCTTGTTCGAGATGTTTCCACGTGATATTTCAACTAGACAAACGGTTCTTGTCGAAATATGTACATCGCCACATACGCAGAGTATCGTTCATGAATTCCTATGGTAACGCGGAAAACTTATCATCACTCATACTATTTTACGTCCTAAATTTCGGTGGCGTTCTGCCAAAGGGTTGGAGGACAGATGTCTACTCGTGTAACTTCACGTTTCTAGTAAAACGTGACACATGCGATCCAACATTTTGGGCAAGACTAATGAGAAAATGTACTGACAGCATTTGGATTATTTCAAGGAATTTATATAATAAATCAGATCATATAAATTACAATAATTTGTACTAATTAATTTTTATACGAGAGTTTTATAGCGTATATTGATTTGGAATTTCAAACTAATATTTGACACAAATCATTAGAAAAACAAATACATTTGAAGGAATTAAATATTGCGAATTCAGTTTTTAAAATATTGAAATTTTTCTTCTCTTCACTTATACAATATAAATTTGTAATTGTTTAAAAAATAATCTGAAATAATGGATTAAATATTTTTAAAGATTTAATATTTTGTATGAATATCCTATTAGAGTACGTAAACATCGTATTACAACGTATGGATTCAACATGAAATGCGAGTATCATTTATAAAATTTTATAGCAAAAGTATATAAGCCGGTGAAAATACAAAATTACGTAACACATTTATTCTACTTTGAATGTAACGTGCATTCAATGCTTTCATGTTTAATTAAAACAATACAATGCATACATACTATTATATAAAAACAAATTTAAAGACATTACATTTATAACACGTTGCTATTGAATGTGTGATAAAGAAATGTTAGACGTAATAATATAATTATTTTTTATCCCAACCGATGAACTAAACCCTTTTTAGATTCGTTTTCAGCAAATTTGCAATTTAGATTAACGGAATTAATTGTCTCCATTTCCATATGTATCATCTTGCTTTACGAGCAAACCAAACCGAACGATTTACTTGACAAACTTTGCATTCCCTTCTTACTCAATGTGTTTCTTGCTTGCCGATGCTGGCTCGTAAATCAATAAAATTACGAAATAACAGTGGTGTTTTGTCACCGTTTGTAACGCTCGCTGGCAGAGACCCCCCCCGGTATTATTTGATTTTAATTCAATGTCATGATTTCTTTGCGAAACGAGGAACAGTTTGCGAAACTTCTCCCACGGATTCCTCCGTAGACGTCGTTGCCGTTGTAGTATTAGAAGAAACAATGGCACGATATTCAATTCGCGATGTCGTGCATTCGTCTGCGAGGAATTCCGCAGACAGTCTGGCGACTTCCTCGCGAACTCCTCGCGGATATTCTCATACAGTAATTCTTACATTCGGCTCTATTATGAGAGGATGGACGTGTTTCTTCCATCTTTCAAAGCGGAAATCCAACCCAAGTAATTGTGAATTTTTTATTTAGTTGCTATACAATGTCACAAACGAGAAAACATCCTAAGGCCATAGCAATAATCTCTTTAGAAATATGACTGTACGTTACAATAGATAATTTTTTCGACTATTTGGCGCAAGAAACATTGAAAATACTATTTTTAAAAAGTATAATTAATTTAAGATTAATATAAGATGGCTGATTTAAAAAAATTTTTATTTCATGAAACTTTTATTTCTGTTTCATTAACATTTTAAGTTATTAAGATACTCAAAGTTTATACGATTCAAAGAAAATAAAATCGTAAAAAAATTTCTTTCACATCAGAATGCACGCATAATAAATTTAAAGTAAGAGAAACGTTATCGTGATTGGAGTGCTGAGGAGATTAATTCACCTTCCTCGCAAGGAATCGCGACATACTATTTGTAATCTCGCAATTAGCACGTTAAAAGAGGTGAAAGACCGCGAACATCTGGAGGGAAAATACATCGAGTCCTCGGCTCTGTGTCGCTTTGTAGAAGACTCCTTTGAAGGAGAATGAGAAGGCTGTAAGCCAAAATTTTCCGGAAATTTAAGAAGATTCGCTCTATGTCGCATCCAGGTTGCCTTAATCGCGCCGCTTTATTCGACGATAATTCGTCGTGGCTATAGAAACGCCTTAATGGCATAGAAGAAAAAGCGGCATGCGAGTGTGCGCGCAAATGGGATGAAAATGAAGGTGATGAGAGGAAGGTGAAGAGTTAGTGAAGAGCAGAACAACGCAAAAGAGAGAAAGACAGAGAAAGAGAGAGAGGGGAGGGGAGGGGGAGGGAAGGAAGGAGATAGGAAAGGAAAGAGGGGAAGGGGGAAAAAGGTAGTGCTTTAAATATATATATATATATATATATTTCTTTCCATTCCCCCTTTTCTACTCGTGGCTAGCTGTTCGCCATCTTTGGTGATTTACGGTCGTCCTAAAACATCTTCGCGATATCGTGTCCCGCCGACTCAGGAAGAAAATAGAAGGAAAGCGGCTTATGCTGGTCTTGGAATTCTCGTTAACACCATAATTTCCATCACCTCCGGATATGTGGATTATACGAGAGAAATCGCTTACTAAAGGGCGTAGTACCTCGTTTTTTTTTCTTTTACCTCTTTAATCATTTCTCGTGGCATTTTACGACGAATTTAGATCAATCGTTTTTCGATCTAACCGAGCAATAGGTGAGTATCGTCAACGTTCGTCAGATCTCTATAATTGAAATATTTCGCATACCTCAGCAAAATGCGGTTTTATGAACATGCGGGTGAGTTTCAGAAGGTTTGTGACAGCTGATATAAAATGGTCACTAATATAAAATTTTCACATAAAATTTTTTTCTCGACATATTTGAACAGAAA